ATTTCATTAGATTTTTCCCCGCCCAACTCTCCAATGGTTGTGGAACTTCAAACACCAGCTCTCTGTATTGGGAGGAAGATGCATCTTGGTATAAGAAAATAATGCAAGTGAAGCGTAAGCTGGTGCTGTAGCAAAGATGAATGCGTTCCCTGACACTAGGGAGTTTCTCAGGATGATCCTACCAAATTTTTTCTCCTCCAACACAGCCATGTCATGCTACCCGTAAAGTGGAGCTCTTCCTCCTCACTGGCAGCATTTACCTGTGTTGTCTTTAGGTTGTAGTTGTGTCTGCCTGCCCGAAACAAGGCAGTTGGAAAGTCGGTTTGGGCTGTGAAGAAGGTAGTTTGGCTTGAGCCGAGAGATGAGCCCACAGAAGAGGGGAGCGTATGTCATGCCTGGTACCTAAACACTCCTGCTGGGGTCCCTGTGGGAGGTGTTTGGTGCTTGCTGCCGTCTTCTCCCATCCATCACGAGCACATATGGAGGAGAGCTCGTGCAGTTTTGATGTCATGTGCTGACGAGAGGTGGCTGGAGGCTGGTTGAGCAGAGGTGGAAAGATGATATTTCTGACTTTTGAGTGCCAGAGGGGTGGATGGGCTTTAGCAGAAAGCATTGATTTGATTTTTTGACTTGCCGACGAAATGGAGAGAAGGGGAGGAATTGACCTAATATCTGTCCCCTGAATAAACAAGGCAGTGGTGAGGCCCCTTAGGGAAGGCAGATCTTCTGAACTGGAAGTTTCCTGCTTTGTAAATCCCAGTGAAGTTCCTCTGTGGCAGCAGAACAAATCCCTAGAAGTTGTCGGCACCTCGGTGTACGTTAGGGTTTTAGAATACAGCAAAAAAAAGCCTCAGCTAGCTGTACTTGCCATGAGCAGTACTGCATGAGGGAGCTGTAGCCTCTTGCTCTAGCTGGGAGCATTAAACATTCTATTTCTGGCTGCCTGACTTCTTATTTTCCCCAGGAGAGAGTTAACTCTTTCACTGTCCCTCATGAGGTCACGTTTGTATGTTTTATGTGGTTTCTGTGTGGGTCTGGCTTTGGCTCAGACCGTTAAGGTTTCTCTTTGTGGCCAAAGGGAATGAAAATGGCTTTTCTGTAGCCGGGTAGATTTTGCTGCAAATACTGGGGCTGCAGGATCAATGCACAGGCAAGTCCCTGGGTAGGAATTTCATTTCTTTCTAGCCTAAAAGCTGCTGTGGACTGTCAGTGTTTCACCCTGGAGGTGGCTGCGTTTCAGCTGCTGACAAAGTCTCTGTGTTCTGTTAGTAAAGCACTTTGAGGGGATCTTTGAAGAGAACAGGTAAGTCAGAAAGCCCACCAACTGTGTCTTCAGTGTACAGCTCTCCTCACAGTCTGCTGCCTGTAAAAGATCTTCAGGAATCTAGACAATTTGTGGACTTTGCAGGATTAGAAACTAATTGGAAGGGAGTGGAAGAAGAAGACAGAGAGTACTGCCCATACTGGGACCTCAGAGGGGGCTTTTCAGTAAGCTTTGTGGTGCCTTGAGCTAGAAATAATGATCTTGCCTGAGAGCCACTGATCTTCCTCTAATCCCCTTTTCAGCAAAGTGTATTGAAGCACTACAATAAAGTTGCAAACGGCATTGAGTACCTAAACATCCTCCCTATCCAAATTCAGCAACCAGCGGGGCAGCAATGAAACCAGATACATTTGTGCCAGCAGAGAAGTCAGTAAATTTTAGGGAAATACCTGTAAAAGGGCAGCTTTCTGTATTTCTTGTCATTTATCTTTTTGCTAGGAATAGTCTGTGCGATACGATATTGCAAGCGTGAGGGTGACAGCTCAATAATCAGCCTTGTGTGCTTGGAAGGGTCCTCATAGCAAGAGGCAAGGCAAGAGCCAGGCGTGACCACGGGCAGAGACCTGTTCGTCTGAAACTCAATCACGTTTGCTATCTGAACTGTAACATCTTGTTCCCTGTAGCGCTTGCCTGTCTGTTTAAATGTATTCTGGCCTTCAGGGGCTATTGTCCTCCTGAAAACTGTTGGCCGTGGAACTGGAAAGGCTAGACCCAGCATTTAGATGAGTCCTTAAAGACCATTAAAGCACTAGAGCGCTTTGCAACATTAAATGCAAACGGCTGCTACAAATGAATTAAGCCTTTATTAGGGCCAGAAATACCCTCTTCTCTCTCCCAAAGCCGTATTATGCTTTGGAAGCATTCCCTAAAAGCCAAGAGCGATGGGGTGTGAGGCCTAAAGACCAGAGCTCCACCTGGAGACTGCTTTGGCGGCAGTTCTTTCCCACTGAAGCAAGAGGCTCCAGTCCAGCTGTTTGTGACTCTGGCAGCAGTGTGTAGTGAAGAGAGGGGATCTCAAATGGGTAGAGACAGACCATTTAGGGCTGTACAGATTTCCAGGCAGCTTCTGTAACCTTCCTGGGAAACCTCTGTGCAGACAGGTTTGGTTCTTTTTCAGGAGCGAGGCTTAGAAGCCTGCCTCCAAACTCCTCTCCACCTCTCCTTTCAGCCTTGAAAGAAGATTTCCTGAATGACCCTCTGGTGGGAAAGAAAACAGACCAACTGGGTCTGCCTCAAACACTGCAGCAGGAGTTTTCGCTGATCAACGTGCAGATCCGAAATGTCAACGTGGAGGTAAAGGGTTACCTTTTTCTGGCTCGTTGGAAGGGGATGTGGGCAGCCTGGCTCATCGGAGCCTTTCGAGGGGAGCCTTCTGTGCTGCAGTGATTGCTGTCTGTAAACGTGGTTTGTTTTGAGCTATAGAGATCCACTTGGCCAGTAGGAGAGAGGATAATCCCAAACACTAGGAGTGAGGGAAGTATTTCAGCACGGTAAGCACACTGGTGCTGGTCCTGAGAAGGCTGGACAGTGTTTTCCTCTCTGCCTAGACTGCAGAGTGGGAAGTAACTTGTTCCACTACATGCAGCTGATCTCATTTCAACTGTTTGTGAACCCAGCCTGTCGAACCCTCCCTATCCTGCACTTTATCCCTCACTTTTAGCATCTCTGTCGCGTGCCAGACCCTGCTGGTGCGAGCCAAGTCTGGCCCCATATCTACCTGAGTTGTTTTTTTTTTGCTGTCACTCTGTTCACTGCCCTTGAGAGCAGCGTGGCTTCATCTTATGGGTGTGCGGAGGAATCAACCCCTCAGCATGAGCTTAAGGCACTCAAAGATTAAAGGTCCTTGGAGAACTAACCACAGAACAATTGCCTTTCCTCACACAGATGGATGCGGTGAGCCGTAGCTGTACGGTGTCAGTGCACTGCGGCAACCACCGAGTCAGGATGCTGGTGATGTTCCCCGTCCAGTACCCCAACAATGCTGCGCCGTCCTTCCAGTTCATCAACCCAACCTCAATCACTGCCTCCATGAAGGCCAAGCTGCTGAAGGTGTGTGGAGGGTATACATGGTCTTTATAAATGTGCAAATGCAATTACTGACACAATAAAACATCTGACCTTGCTGGAGACGTACCACGGGACACTTTGATGCATTGTGGAGGTCCTAGGGTGAGGTTTTTGTTGGCCTTGCAGCCCAGTATTTTCTTTTCTCCACTGGTGCTTTTTAAACCTGTGTTCTTTCATGCTACTGCATTCCAGTGTGATTTGTGTTGCCTGAGGATCCCTAATGTCCTTTTCCTCACACGATTGCCCCCAACAGACAAAATGACCAGCTGCAGAGAGAGAGTATTTTTTGAGCTGGGATGCTCCTTCGTGCTCTCTTTCACAAACTGATTTAAAAAGGAGGGGACTTTCGACCCAGGCTCCACTAATTCCAGACCAAACGTTTAATCATCTGATATAGGGAGTCCTATTACTGATGAAAGCCCCTCCCCAGCAGCAAGCTGGTTATTTGGGTAATTTGGGTAATTTGGGTAATTTGGGTATTTGGGTAATTTGGGTTATTTCCTGAGGAAAAAAACCAACAAAACTGATAGTTTGCCACAAACTGGCATGGAATGTATGAGTTACAGTGGTATAGAAGCCCAAATCCTGGCTCAGAGTGTGCTAAATGTAGGTAAACCCTTGGTGCTCTGATCAAAGCTCAAAGCAGATGGGACACCGGTGGGTTGCTGTAGCCCCAGTGGATGTTAAGAGATGCTTTTGGCCTCTCTGGATCCTGGCGTCTTAGAGCTGCTCTGCAGCTAGAAAAGGGATGTGGGGAAAGCGGCGGGTGTAACCATGATTCAAACCGCATATTGTGTGTATTCCAGATACTGAAAGACACTTCTCTGCAGAAAGTGAAGCGGAACCAGAGCTGCCTGGAGCCCTGCCTGCGTCAGCTGGTCTCCTGGCTGGAGTCCGTTGTGGTACGGAGAACCGCCTGGGCTTTCTGTGCCCTGGTTTGTTGTCTTCTCCCAAATCCCACACTTCTGACACAGCAGAAGAGAGTTCATCCTCATTAGACATGTAAATAGCCCCCTGTGCCTGGCTGTTACATTTGTGTAAAGCACTTCTGGTTAATGTGGAAGAAAATGGAGAGGATGATGAGATGCATTTTGTTTCTGAACATCAGACTCTCAAGGTTTGCTGCTCTGGAGAGCCCTGCATGCTCACTGGTACTCAGGTTAGCAGAAGTGACCAGGAGTTGGAACATCTTAGAGCTACACAGTAGCTTTACAGCTCAGAGGATGTTTCACTGAGTGCCAGGGCATGGTTATGATCTCTGAGAGAAGATTCGAGGCCTCAGGAAGCTGATGGGTTCGTTCCTGGCTAAAGGCAATGGCAGATGTCTTTACCTCTTCAGTTCTAGTCAGAGATCCTGCTATCCTGTTCTAGGGTCTTTGTTTCCTTCCCTTGGGAGGGGGGGAAAAAAAAAAGCTGTGAAAGTCTGTTTGTTTTTTCCTAAAGTCTTGTGCTGAGGCTTTCTAGGGATGATACTGCAGATAAATCCTAGTCACGCTCTGCCCTTAGCCGAGAGATCTGTGATACCTACTCAGCATCCCCGTGTCAGGTGTTAGGTCTGTGTGTGGGTGAAATGTACCCCGAGTGGGTGGTTTTAGTATTCAGGAGAAGTTTGTAAAGTCGTCTCAGATTTCCTTCCCATAAAGGTTTTGTTTATTGGTCACAAATAAAGGGCTTCCCCCCCTAACCCCGCATGGAAAGGCTTAATTCTGTTTGGTTTCAGCAGTAATGTAATAGTGGGGACTTTCTCCGTTATATGGAATTCTAATGACTCAAGCCAGGTGCCTTGAAAGAATTCCTTTAGACCTAAGCTGTAGTAATTTTTTTCCAAATAAATACAGGTTTCTGCCAAAACGCTTATGATTAGGCCCAAGGTCCCTTAGTATTTCACACCACCTGCCTTCCTTGCTTCAGGACTCCCAACCTGCATTTGACCCCCCAGCCGTGCGATATTCCTGTTCAAGGAGCCTTGTCTCGCTTGCGTCACTGAGGTACCAGGCTTAGCTCAGCTCCCTGCGTTGAGAGCTGTATCCAGAGCCCAAAGGTCAGATTTTTCCATATAGTTTCACCCCAAGATAAGCTCTCTATTTCAGCAGAGCTGTGGTGGGGGAGAAATCTCTGAACAAGGAGGTGGAGAAGCCCTTTCCTCAAAGACAAATGTGCTCGCAAATGCCTTTGCGGCCAGAGGAGCGACCGTACTCTGCTCTTGATCTGCTTTGGCTCAAAGCACGGACACCTTGGGTGAGGCTTCTTCCTGTGACCTTGGGTACCTTCTGTTTCAGAACCAAGAGGACAGCACATCCAGCAATCCCTACGCTTTGCCAAACTCCGTAACGCCTCCCTTGCCCACGTTCGCCCGTGTCTCCAACGCCTACGGCTCCTACCAGGACTCCAACATCCCATTTCCACGGACCTCTGGAGCCAGGTTCTGTGGTGCAGGTTAGCCCTGGTGCCGATACGTAACGACAGCTACCCAGGGAACGGTCCTTTTGATATAATATCTTGGGGAACACTTCCCTCTGCACAAGGTGGGGCTTTGGTCACTGCCGTGCAATGAGGAAGAAACGGTATTAAAGTGACATACATGGTGGTGATATAAATTTCTGGGTAACCAGACTAGTTAGCAGTTGGTGTTGCACATGGGATTTTTGGATTTGGAAATCCAGGGCTAGCTGAAGAGATGACCTTTGGCTTGTGACGTGCCAGAGGTGTTGACAGGCCTCTCTTTTACAGAAGACTGGGAATAGCTGTTTTCCTTGCATATTTCTCTTCTACAAGCATCAAACTGCTGGACATATTCTGTACAGAAGACTGGGAATAGCTGTTTTCCTTGCGTATTTCTCTTCTACAAGCATCAGACTGCTGGACATATTCTTGCACTCAGTCTTCACAAAATTTCTGTGGTTTGGGGTTGAACTTACCCCTTACTGAAACCGTATTCTTGTTATTAACCACTCTTTTTCTCATTCTGCACCCTTTCTGTTGCCCAAAATAGCTTTCCCAGCTGGGGTATAATCACGTCCAGGTTTCCAGAGATCATCCCTAAGAACCAGTTTTTTTAAAGAGTTAAGTTTCACTGAGCTGTTTCTGATGTAAGCATGCCTCCTCCAGACCTGCCCTCTTCCCAGTTTGAAAGCAGCTTTCAAAACATGCTCAAACTTTTTTTTTTTCTCACTGAGTTTCCAGCAAAAGCTAAAAGGAGTAATATTGCATTGAGTAGGCTCACTGAAACATGCTAAGTCCTCCAATTTATTGCAGGCATGGGGTGTTTGGGAGTTGGCTGCAGACAGTTTTTTGAAGAGGGGAGTTGTACAAGCTGCAGGGGTTTCTCTGCGTAGCTAATCACCTCACTTGCCTCTGGAGTATCAAAAGGATTGGCAAGGTCTGGTGAAGAGTTAAAACATGAGTATGTATTTGCTCATTTTCTTTTACTGTCTTAACATCTGCAAGCCACTTGAGTTGCTGCTTTTAAGACACTCATCGAAACAAACCATACTCTTTAATGGGCTTGCAGGGAGTAGATGGGTTGTGAAAATGGGGTTGTCTCTTTGTAGTTTAAAAAGCACTCAAGGTAGTGGATAGACCTAGAGCCCCTTGACTCTGCCTTCAAGGTAGGACCAAGCTTCTCTGTGTCAAGCACCCCTGGGTAATGTGCTTCTCCTTGTGTGATCTTTACGCCGTGTCCTGTCTCTTCAGGGTATCTGGTGTATTTCACGAGACCCATGACCATGCACCGCGCCGTGTCCCCGACGGAGCCCACCCCCAGGTGAGCACCCTGAGTCCCCTTGAAGGTGTGCTGCTGTCCCAGGCAGGAGAACATCACACCCTGCTGGAGCTGTTGACCTTCAGAAAGTACTGACCTCTAGCGTTAGCTGCCTCCTCTGCACAGAGCCTGGTCCCTCAGATCACTGCTCTCAGCAGAGACCTCTTCCTTCAACACACATTGCTGGGAGCTTGGGTTAGTGAAGATGTCAGGATGAGACTCCAGGGCAGTTTGGTGGATGAAAGCTCCTGAAAACGCGTTCTCTGGTTGCTAGGTCCCTGTCAGCTTTATCAGCGTACCATAGTGGCCTCATTACTCCAATGAAGATCCGCACGGAGACACCGGGCAACCTGCGCTTGTACAGCGGGAGTCCGACACGCAGTGAGAAGGAACAGGTCTCCATTAGCTCCTTCTACTACAAAGAGAGGGTAAGTACCGGACCAAAAAGCCTTTCTTGACACTTCGGCTTTTGTGCTGTGTATTCGTTTCATATTGCTGGTGACAGAAGGCTCATATTCCTCTGAAGAAGGCATCCTTTTACAGGCAGCTCTGTGAAATGTCACATGGATTTACTTCCTGTTAGTAACTTCTTTACTGATCCTCTCTTGCATTTAATCTGCTTATTTTGATATCTCTTTGCACCGACCCTCACAGTTTCCTTTGGTGCATTGCGCTGTCTCCCTTTGCATAACGTAGGGTTAAAAATCTCATGCTTAAGAAGTTGTACTCTCCAGATAAGAACGTACAGACAACAACTGCAAAGGATTGTGGCTCTCTGCAGCTTACTGACAGCCTCTCCCAAATCATAGGTTTTATTTGGATTATTTTTATTACAGATGTCTACTTTTGGGGATATGGGTCCCTTTGGACTGTTTTAAACAAAAGTCACTCCTGTGTGAGTCTCCAGAGGTCTTCCAGCCCACGTACTTCTGGTTTAGGTGTAGGTCTTACTGTCACTGTGGTTTACATGCAAGGAGAGTGAAATTATTTCCTTCCAGTAATTTCCATTGGTAATTGTAGGGTGGTTCTGAATCAGCTGAGGGCCCTGTGTGCCCGGAGCAGATCCTGTGGGAATAACCAGCCATGCAGCTTGCTTAAAACAACCTCTCTGTGTTTCAGCAGGGGGTGAAAGTGGCTTGCAAAAATACGGTGAGCTTCCACCGAGAGCCTGAGAATTCGGAGCACTCGAGTAGTTTGCCTGCTGTCTGTGCTGGGGGCACTATCCTGCTGCAGCAATAGAGAGCTTCCAGGTAGCCCAGGCAAAGCCAGGAGCTCAGTCTGCTGTGGTGGAGCTTGGGAACTCCCATCCCAGGAGCAGACGGAAGATTAGACCCTTGAGCTCTCGCCATTCCTGGGCACCAGAAAAGGTCTTGATTTTCCAGTAGTCCTGGACGTGACAGCCAACCCCTTTGGGAGTGTGTCCTGCCTTCATCCAGACCTGAGGTGACTCTCAGAGTCCCCATTCTGTTTTGTTGTGGTTTTTTTTTTTCCCCACATGAAATTCTTTGTTTGATGAACAGAGAAAATGGTCCTGCTGGTGCAAGAATTACAGCCCGTTCTAGCATTTGCGGGAGAGTTTATTTAAAGAGCTGCCTCTGTCCTCTGCAGCGTGCTCGTCTCTGACACACAGCTCTTTAAGATAACAGACAAGGCTAAAAATAACACGTGGAAGGAGCTTGGTGCAATTTCATGTGACCTGTCTCCCCAGCCCTTGCACTGATGGCAACAAGATTTTTGCTGGGGGAGAGGGGAAGTCGAGAGAACAAAGCACATGCGTAGCCCTGTCTGCTGAAAGCCACAGAAAATTCCTGTGTTCCCTTTCTCTCTGCCAAGCCATCTCCCCGCATGCTGGGCTAGAAGTTTAAGGACCCTAGCAGGGAGCTGGCTCAGATATTCCTCCGGATGAAATAGTTTGGGGGGTTTTTTTGAAAAAAAAATCAGCCTCCAAAATCAAAGCAAAGGTTTTCTGATTCTCCAGGAGTGGATGTCATGGCCTCTGTTAGATCAATGCCACATATTTTTATGTTGTTTCATTGTAAGGATTTTTAAAAAGCCCAGACTCTGAGTCTAGTTAGCTCTGAAGCTTGGATTTTATATTTGCATTAAATGAAAATTGAAATTTTGCATGTTAAACTCTCACGATGTGTAACTTCAGCCCCCAAACTGAATTTGTCAGTGATAACCAGGTGTTTAAATCCCATCTAGCAGCACCTGGCAGTGCTACCATTAGCAAAGAAATGGAATTTGCCCATTGCTAGACAGGAAATATGTCATGTTCCCATAAAGGCAGGGAAGGTGCT